AACGTACGTTGCGAGCCGAGTCGCGGGCTTGACGCACGTGGAGACTCAGTGCAGAGGCTTGCGAGACCAGCGCGTCATCCGGGCGAAGGCCTCGGCGTCCCGAGCGCGGCGATGAGGACGCGATGCGCGGAAGGCCTTAGACCTCGCGCTGGACGTCAGCGAAATGAGCAATTACGCACGAGCATTGTTCGTCGAAATCCCAAAGGAGAGTGACGGCTGCCGACGCGGACGGCGCTCTCTATGAAGAGTATCAAACCCTTCGGGCCGCCGATAGACAGCGCGATACGCTGAGAAGAGTTCTGCGCAACATGCGTCCGGCGTGCGCGAAAGATCAACGGCGGCCGCAGCGTGGTAAGACCAGTTAGTCAGAGCTAGCAGCCAGCAGGAGCCCAGCATGCATCGTTCCTGTGGAGTCTTGATGTGTTGCAGCAGGAGCCGGCGTCATCGTGATCGTCGGCCAAAGCTCTGCGCTTCCGTTCCGCGACGACGTTCGGCTGCGACACGACGCACGTCGTTTGCGGTCGGCAGAGCGCCGCACGCTAGTGACTGCTGTGTGCGCTGGCGGAGCGTCGCGCGCTGCATGCTGGGTCGTCTCGCGTCGCCTGTCTGATGCTCGAGTCGCTCGACGTCCGCGCCGCGCAGTGTGCTCGCCGGAGTGCGTCCGGTGTTCCGCCGCCTGGCTTGCGTGCGCGCAGTGGAAGCGGCGGCGTGCGACCGACTCGCGGAGAGGCGGCGGCCCGGGCACTGTTTGCGCAGTGGTGGCGTGGGTACACATTTGCGGCAACGGCGGGCGTGTAGACGCCTCCCAGAAGAAGATGGTCACCTCTACCAGCCACGTGCGCCGGGCGGGCGTAACGCGTGGCCATCGGCTCAAGGCCCGACGTCTGTGTTGGGCGCGGCGGACGACATGCAATGTTATGCTCAAATGTTATAAATATGCATTTTTCGACCATTCATAATAAATTGTTTTATTGAAGCCCAGTGAATAATTACATAGGTACAAGTCTTTTTTCATTTCAAAAATGGCCCAGCCACCACCACTGATATTCAAGAAAGTGTTGATCATGTTAGCCCATTGCTATTTTCTGAGCACGCTGCGAGCGCGTGTAACCGATGTCGGGCAAAGTGCTCAAGCCGCCGCCGGGTCAGTGCAGATATTGCAATGTCGGCAATATTATTGGCTGCAAGAGTTAATCCGATATGGGGCCAATTAATTGGCCTGGTGCTCTCCCTGTTGTGCTCGCTCTCGGTTATGCTATATGCTAGATATATCAGTAGATATCTATATTATTGCTATATCATTATAATATATGTGCAGTATATATTGCTATTATCAGTATATGCTCATATGTAGGCCTATGAGTGTCCGATCACCGACCGTCAAAGTCACCGACCGCGAAATTAAAATTTAACCACTCGCGAAATTGTCCGTCAGGTCCGAATTTGTGAAAATACCTGTATGTGAAAAATATGGCGTATACAGTATATTCCCCCTTGTGTGATCTCCGTTAATTGTGTAATGCCACAATAACTCCTCCGGTCGTTACCACCGGTCTAAGATTCGATCACTGGATTGTGACCTTGATTGAACCGTCACGTGGTGTGTGGTATGAAAGAGGAAGACATAGAATCGACAACGGAGATAAATTACTTTATGCATCGGCCATCCAATCAACGCGTTTAATCAAAGAAGAAACATCACATGTTTAAGATTTTCCGTGTGATTATACACTTACATAGGTGCGCGGATCGGCTCTATAATATAGGTGGACTCATGACACAATAGAACGTGACACAGTAAGGAGCCGGCTTAAGGAACGGCCGAACGAGATGAGTCGCGATGAAACCCAAGCAAAATCGCGAAGTCGTGATGGAAATCCATCGAAATCTTAACTAACGTCGTTGATTAAAATCCGCCAAAACCTTAGCTAAAGTCGCGATGTCGCAGCTGAAATCCATTTGAAATCTCGTTAAGAACTGTGAACTTGAGTGGCGTAGGCATGGTTGCTAAACGCCCCGAGATGTGGGAATGCTCCGTGGTCCGCGAAACGAATCATCAGTAGCCTGGGTTGACCCTCAGCCATCTACTGCCGTCCGGTGGAGACTGCCGTCCGGTGGAGGTCGACGACGGGAGAGCCAGTTGTACAGTGAGTATCACACGCACACACCAAAATTACAATGTGGTGTAGCTAATTTGGTTTAGCTACATTTAATTTTACATCATGACAACAATACAACTTTTTACAAGTACCTAGCTCCAAGAAACGGTCTTGCTAGGGTTAGAAGATAGACAATCGGTCGCACAGCCTTGTCGGGCTTAGTACAAGTACCTAGCGATCTATGGTACAGGCCTATGCTAACACACACAACATACCCAGCACGGCCGTAAATGTCCGCGAGTGACACGAGGAACACAGGCTGGTTCGCCACACAAAACATAACAAAATTACAATACACCTGTAGCCTGTACACAGTACAGTGTAGGCCAACTGGCTACTGAGCTAACGTTATCATCGGTGATTTTATTCTTTTGTGTGTGTGCTGAGGAGTTATGTAATATGTTTATTGAGATTCACAGTAATATTAATGGTGCATATGTGAAGCGGGTGTTTATTCTTTTGTGTGTGCTGAGGAGTTATGTAATATGTTTATTGAGATTCACAGTAATATTAGTGGTGCATATGTGAAGCGGGTGTT